ATTGTTATTCCAGTATTCATCTTTCTCGTCTGATCTTTTCCTTTTTACAGTTGAAAAGAATTCTTGATCTACTTATCACAGAAGTTGTCTTACTTTAATTATAAAATTAAATCTTAAAAATTTAATTATAATTTACTTATAAACTTAAATTATAAAAATTAAAAATGAATGAAAGGTATAACAGTCAACGACATCTCTGGATCTAATTTTTTTCAAATAATACAAAGAAAAAACGATTTTACTCAAGTGTCTAAAAATTTAGGTAAATTATAGATTTACAAACAATTTTGTTGGGGACTATTAAAATAATTATACAGAAAACTCAAGCTGGGCAACCAGTTTCAGCAACTAGCTTAAACATTCTGTGTAATTACTTTGATAATCCAACAAAATTATTCTCAGCACTGTATTTAGTACTAAATTTCTTAGATACTTCAGCAAAACCATTTTCCATTCATTTCATGTACTTTGCAAAATAAATAGAAATAAATCATCACAATAAAAAAGTTCGTGAAAATCAATACTGGATGGAAACTGTAGAAAAGAATATGTATTGATTAAGATTAAATACGGACGTTTCCTTTATTGGGAGTTATCTTCAGTATAAAAGTAACAAATTAAAACTAATAATATTTAATATTTATTTGCGCATGTACAATAGAGATATCAAACTGACAAACAATTTATTATATCATGAAACTTACTGAATATAGAAATCCATATACAAGGTGAATCAGAGTAGTTGAACCAGTTTTTTACCCTACGAGAAAATTATCGACTTAGTCATACAAATCAGAAATGTGGATACATCGTGTGAATTGCTAGGCGCACATTTAATAATTTTCACATAATTATTATTTTATTAACGTAAGTATTATTATTTTTGTCTTTAATTATACTTATGTTAATCAAATAATGGAGTTTTATTAAGTTTTTGACTCTTATTAGCCCTTTATATTTCGTTGGATTTTAGAGTCCTGTTACTTCAAGTTTATATCGTTAAGTTGATAATTAGGTGTGTAATCGATAATTTTCTCATAGGATAAAAAACTGGTTCACTACTCTGATTTATCCTGTATATCTTATATGGTTTATATTTATACGGTGAGTTTTTTAGAATCCGGGTGTAAGGGCATTCGTCCGGTTTATGTACAAGACACTGATAATATTCACTCGGTTGCGGTGTTACGTCGTGATGTTTTATTACGTCTACACGAACGCTGATTCGCGGAGGCAGCCAGTCGAGTCGGTCAATCGGCGAACTGTCTCCGTTATCTCCATCAGCGGTGTATATTCTTGGTCCCGACCCGATAAATAATGTTTGGCGCATTACGCCCTGCATCGTAATATACAGGCAGCACGTGGCCGAGTTATCCAGAGGTCAGGCCAAATTTACCAATCGCCTCGGCGTCCGTTCGATTTGCTCGACGCGGCCGCGTGTTTGCGGTTGCTCCGGTAGCCCTCGATCTGGCCTTTACAGCCTCGTTATTCGTCTCTTGAGAGAAAAATGAGATCTGATTATAAGTACGAGTCGATGATAACGGAATGAAATCACGGATATCGATAAGGATATTCGGACACATAAGAAGATCCAGACAAATCACACTTGTTTATTACATCGCTTAGGTGGATATTAGTGGTCTTAAAAAATACTTTATTTTTAACATTATTAATTTTTTTTTAATAAGTAAGAATTTATTGTCTGTGTATTTTTTACGTAATTTATATGCGTTATCTTTCATTATTTACTTATGTTACGTAACGCATATCGTTATCGATTATCTGTTAGACACTACATCTCGCGACGATCGCGGTTTTCCTCTACCGTTTTCTCAATTTAATCTAAATACACACTTTTGAGAGGGAAATACATATTTATATTCAGACAAGGCAAGAGAAGCGTTTGTTTACTCGGACCCGAGCGGAGATGGCGACGAATGGGCATTGATAAGTCGACTCGTCTAATTATACCTCTCCTTGCCCCCGCCATGGTCGAGGCTAAATCGTCCCTCGCTCTTTCTTCGAGAGGAGGGTTCACGTTACGATCTCGTGCACTATGTTGTCAGAATTCAGATTGATGTCAGTCGCGTGGCGAATGGCTCTCGTTTCGAGAGAGAGAGAGGGGGGGGGGGGAGGGAGAGAGAGAGAGAGAGAGAGTCATTATTTATTATACTGGAACATTCTCCCCTAGAGCGTTAAATACATACAGTTACATAAAATTATAAAAATTAGAAAGCAGGGAAATGAATATAACAAAAGGTAGCACTGGAAGAGCTTCATAAAATATAACAAAAAAATATATAATAATAAAAATAAAGTGATAATAAGATAGAGTGAAACACATAACTTTCTGAATGTAAATAATATTAATGAATGTGTAATTATCTATGGAAAATAATGGATTTAAATATACAGAAGTACACTAGTTTCGATATGGCAGAGCCACAGAGAGAGATAGAGAGAGAGAAAGATAGAGAAAACACGCAACAGCTGTGATAGTCGACGTTCACCAAATTGCCTGTGACGTCAGTGCTATACTCGGTTCTTTCTTCCCTTCTTTTTTTTTCTTCGTACTGACGGATCGCCGATGTGCTGTGATCAACATAATCGACGTCTTGACTGCCTCAATCGTCTCGTTAGCGAACATTGTTGCGCGAGCGTCATTAATGAGCGTGTAATAATTCGAGATATGATGTAAACTGGCACGCATCTTATCGGCGGTGTTATGTAAATAACCGAGATATAAACACAAATTTCACATCATTCATTCGACCCCGAGGATAACGACTTATTTTAGCGTGATTTTTCGCGATTCTTAGCGTAACAGTAAATGAAAAAAACAACGATTACGAAATCTTCATAACGACTTATATAAATTATTATCAGACTGACGAGATATCGACGTTGATGATGAAAACATTCGACGAAAGTGATGATATAGTTAAAATTTATTGAATTTTAACGTGAATTTGACTTTCTGATTAGATTTTGTTGTCTCTTACTTAATATAAATTGATTATCGATATATAAGTTAATTATTGACTTGATATACTATAATTAATATCGAATTATAGCTTGATATTTTTTGGACGTTAAAAATTTGTACGTGCAGCAATTCTCAAGACTGATTGTGAGTTATTCGAACCTGAAAGAATGACGCATAGCGCATATGTCGTTTCGTCTCGATAACACTGGCGATAATGCACCTACACCTCGGCACTCCCTATCGACCATTATCTCCCTACCGACCGTGTTATCGCTAAGAAAAGCGATAAAGTAACGCGCCATTCGTGCCGACTCAGCGGCTACGACAATAATAATGATCATTGTTTATGCCATAGAGATTAGAGGGGATAGCGGTAGAGAGTCGCAATGAGAAATACAAGTTTCTCACCGTTCTTTCGTGTTAAGTCTGTCAGATCTACAATAGGTGTTTTAAGCCTTAAACCGTAAAAAATTGACCAACTACAATCGAATGCGACGTGAATAAGAGATCATGATTCGTCCATTCCTTATGGCTTACAAGGCTTAAAAATCGATTAGAAATCCGGAGTAATACGAATTTGCAAAGTTCGCAAATAGCTGACTGTTGTAAATTTAAGTCCTATGAATGAAATTAAAAGTTACAATAATTTTAAAATTAAAGAAATAATTACAAATAATTACAAATTAAATACTTCATAATATGTATAATTAAAAGAAAATCTAAAGGCCAGTGTTGTTCGATCTATATAAATAAACTCTGTGGTGATTTACTTATTGGATAAACAAAAGACTAAAAGAATAAAAACATAGGAGACTAGGGGCTGCCGCAGACAAAATTTCTGTAACAGTAACCTTAAGACGTGAACTTAAGCCGATGAACCAATCAGGATACTGCTTTAGATCTACGTACTCTAACGGAAATGGAAATAGCAGTAAACTTATCCATCTTGTTAATTGAATTAAAAACGATTATTTTAATAGAATAACTGTAGATATATATAATACAAATTTTAATAGAATTTTATGACAATCTGGTCATGCCACCTATCGAAGACGCCAAAATACTCGAGATGCCTCTGAAACATTCTAACCAAGCACACATCCCCGGTACCTTCAAAATTCGGCGAATCAACGTTTATTGATCCATACACACGACCGGCGTATCTCGTATCGTGTCAGCGATATTCGCCGGTTGCTTAAAATGATTGAAAAACACCGGCGCGGCGGCGCGATAACCGCGACCGCTGACTCTCTACGTGACTCGATGCATTTTATTATAAATAATCATGAGATCTTCGTACACACAACGTCACGTCGGTTCTGATACCAGTCCTCATTTTTCTCGGTATAGTTGAGATACTTCGATAAGAATAATCGCTGATACAGTACTGGAAGGAATACTGTTCGGTCTCCGAGAGATGACCGCGTTTTTACGGCTGTGTAAAACCGGCTTGTTCATTGCGAAGAGTGGGCGCCGGGTTGATGCGAGAACGTGCGCGCGCGTGCACACAGCATGCAGCCTCCCACCGTCCCCCCCCCTCTCCTTTCCTCTCCCCTGCCCTTGCCCGCCCCCCTCGCCCCAACCTCCTCGATCCTCGACGTTCCGAACTCTCCCCGCTGCCGTGCTCCACCGGATCTCGCTGTCTACGTGTCCCCCTAGGGCACTTCACGGCGCGCATGCGCAACCTCGCGATTATGACGTCATCCACCATGACGCCACAACGTCCGATTGGCGGAGCGCGTCGTCGTCGTCGTCGTCGTCGCGTCGTCGTAGCTGTTTTTTTAGCGACGAGGATGTCACGGGACGGAGGGGAGGTAGCTTGGCAATGGCTCTCGTGCGAGTGGGAGACGGGAGGACTGAGCGCAAGAGGAAACGAGAGAATGAGAGAGGGAGAGAGAGAATGAGAGCTAGCAGACTGCATACGGGGATTGAACGGCGTGCCGAGAGGGGAAGAGGGAATCGTGCGAGCGAGCGATCGGAGCGACACCGAACGGCCGATAACGTGGCCGAGCAAATGGCGAATGCGATGGCGGTGAAGGAGCGAGAGGAAGGTGGCCCGATGGGTTCGAGAGAGACGGGGCTAAGGCTGACAATGAGAGGTGGAAACTCCGACGGAGTTACCCAGAGGGCCAGAGTTACCGCCGCATTCTCGAGCGTTCGTCTCTTCGTACGGCAGCCAGACGCCCCAGACGGTCGAGCGCATGTCTCGTCCTCGTCGCGTCGAGAGATACGTGTTTAATTTCGCGCGTTTGTAAATTGTATCTCGCGCGTCGCTCTTGCCAAGAAAGAGAGAAGAACGATTGCAATAATAAATCACAACGCGACAACGGTGACCGCGTTGATCGCGTGTGCCTCGCGTTCGCTGGTTCGCGGTGCTTCGCCGCTACCTTTTCCGGTATCGTGCGAGGACAGTGCGAGGATACATTAGAACGTAGATTCGTCGTAACGCGGGCGTCTCGAAGTTCCTTCGAGGACCGCGTGTGAGACGCGAGTTTTTCCCGGGAAGTGAAGTGACGCCGCGGATTCCCGCCATCGCCATCGTTGACGGCGCCATCGCGGAGCAGCTCTCCCCATCGTGGGCTTGGGTCGTTCGCTCCGCTCCGCTCCGGTCCGGTCCGGGCTGTCCGTCGCGTAGGCGTAGTGGTGCGGGCGAGTCGGGCGTCGTCAGGCGTCGCTACGCGTTCGTCTTCTCGCGGCTCATGTGCTCGCGAGCCGCGCCAACGGAGACGACGGAGTGCGCGCGAGACGGGAGGTGCAGGTTGACGTTATCGTCGTCTTTGTCGTTATTTCGAGCGCCGGTTATTTCTCGGACGAGTAGTGCGCGCGGTCGGAATCTATTTTCCTTTCGCGGAGCGGAGTGACTCGAGAAGAGAGAGAGAGAGAGAGAGGGCGAGAGAAAGCGTCGTTTATTATGGGACAAGTCCCTTCGAGCACAAGGACTTATTAACAAAGGAATAAAGAGAGAATTCACCGTATTTCTCAAACTACAGTACATGAAATAAAGTGAAACAGAACAAAATAATGTGAAAAATATATACGATATTAAAACTGAATAAAAAAAATTGATGCGTGTATATGCATAAGAACGTATGCGTACGTACAAGAGTGCATGTGTGCGTGTGTGTGTGTGTGTGTGTGCGCTCGCAGGCACATAACGGAGAGAAAGAGAGGTGGTAGACAAAGCGGACGACTAAACGCGGGGATAACTCTGATACAGCTCGCGACTAAACGAGATAAGAGCCCAGAAGATAATACGTGCGCGCGAGACAAACAGTGGATGTGAAGTGATAATTCATCGAGAGCGACACAGTGGACGATTAACATTAATCCCCTTCCCCTTCCCCCTCTAGGCCACCAGACCGCCATTATCATTAGCAAAACAGCGGGAGATCCTCGGCGCCGACACTACGTTTCTCGCCGACAAGATGATGGGCAAACGGACGCAGTGTTATCTGTGCGACCTGCCCAGGATGCCTTGGGCGATGATAATGGACTTCTCGGAGCCGGTTTGTCGCGGCTGCGTGAATTACGAGGGCGCCGACCGCATCGACCTAGTCCTCGAGTCGGCCAAGCAGCTGAAGAAAGCGCACGGTTTTCAGGATGCTCGGCCGTCCGCCTCCAAGACGTATCGTACTGGTACGGGACACACCGAGCACAACGGCGGTACCAATCTCGACGTCCTGCCGATACAGAACACGCCACAGGGTAGTCATACGCGTCATCACAACATCGGCGGTTACTCGCAGTTACACCATCGTAATTCCATCACCGAGTTCACCTCAGGAACAGCGGCGGCGGCCGCCGCCGCCGCCAGGCAGCAGGTCGGTCGTCAACACGGTGACGAGAGCCACGAGATCGCCAACAGCATAAGGAACAATCCACCGCGCTTGTCCAACGCCCATCTGGCCGCGGTGGCCGCGCATCAGATGACCCTGCATAATCGCAGCATTACCCAACTCAAACGCGGCATCTCCGCGATCGACGAGGATGAACACGCTGAGAAACGGTTGTCCTTGGAGGAGCAGCATCCAGTTAGACCACCGCTGACACGCGGGGACTCTCTACCGGCGGTCAGCTTGGCCGTCAGCTACGTGGACCGGAACAAAGAGAAGCATCCGGTGAGGGCGCCCAGCTTCGAGACGGCGACTACCTTCAAGGCCAACGGTGAGTTTCCCCTCCGTTTTTGGGTCGCGCCACAACAATCGATCGATGGAGTTGGTGATTGTAAGTTCGTTCCGAATTTCGATTCCGATTGTATCAAGGATGATTGTCTTGGGGATTATTTTTCCCCCTTTACTTCTATGTGGCCCACTGGGAACTTGGCGACTAATGAAGCGAAAACATCGATTTCGCCGGATGCGACGTCGAACACGTCGCATTATCGCACGATGGTTTTATTTGTTTACGAACCTCTGACGATTGCGTTCGTAAGTCGTCGTAAAGTCGTAATTTTGAATGTTTCTCTACATGTAAAATATTCGCGGAATGTAAATATTACAGGCGAGATAAAGCAAGTACTAATTTATGCGAGCGTTTACGGACAAACGATTTTTCTTTGATTACCTTCGCTTTCAAAAATGTATCTACCGAGCAACACGATTTGTTGAAGTCTGCGAAAATTGGTTCGCGTGTTGCGATTAGATTCCACAGACACGATGTGTAATTCATTCATAACATGGATTTTTCATTCATAACATGGAATCATTAGCTACTAACAATTAAGATCTTTAAAAAATAATGACTGTGATGAAAGTCTTTTCAAAGTCAACATTTTATAATGAATCCAATTTGGCATGATTAGTGGAGAACGCCAGACAGAAGTATAAAACACGAGTTTCTGTCGAGTGTCCTATTATTACCAAGTGATCGTAATTTCCCTAGAGATTGTATTGCTGTCTTAACAAGAATTATAGGTATAAATCACGCTTTTCATTTTTCTTTAATTCTACATTATTCGCGTGAGATGTTTGACACTAACATTGTATCTCACGTTTCATTATTCTCTTTGATGATTAAGTTTACAATTAAATAAAAATTTATGACATTCTATATCCTTTAGAAATAAAAATTAATTGAATTATTTTTTTAATTGTGAAACAATTAGCGCTAAATATGTATAATAATGTGAATAAAATGGCATTTATATATTTAGCGAATTTATAAAGTGAGAGTATTTTGGACATCCCACGCGAGTAATAAAGGATTAACCAATCAACGTTGACAAATAAAGAATCTCGGGTCTGACTTTTTATTTTCTGATTAACTTATGGTTAGACTTAAACCAATGATAATGTAAACAATTAATTTTCCTAGATATGGTTAATCAGTAAACTGATAGTTTTGTGGCAAGTAACGTAATAACTTCTAGAGATATCACTACAAAACCATCAATTTAGTGATTAATTCTAACTGGAAGAAAAACACAATTTTTATTTTATCATCAATTTAAGTGATCATAATTTAAGTCTAAGCCACAAGTCATATTGAAAAGCTTTTTTATTTTATTTAATTTATTATTTATTCCTATTTTATTATATTTTAATATGTACATATATTTTTCAAAAAGAAAGGCGCGTATCAATGTCGTTTTTCACTTCCATACAAGAATAAATGCACAAATGAGAGACGAGAAGTATCTCGGACATTCCGGCCTTACGTGGCGCGCGGTAGCTCGACATAATTTTTTTTTTTTAGCGGGCGGTGTTCTGGCGTTTTTATCGGTGCCTACTATAAATAGTTGAAGAGGAGGGCTGTGCGCACAGCTATTCGTTTGTGGCCATCTGGCGCGAGGAGGCAATGCACGCACACGCGTGTACGTCGACGAGGACGACGATATAGGGAGATTACATTAAAAGGAAGCAACGTCCTCTATCGCGTCCTCGCTTAGTTCTCTCTCTCTCTCTCTTTCTCTCCTTCCATTTTGTTCTCTCACCATTCTGGCATCTTTCTCATCTCCCATCTCTATTTAGTTCTCTTCGATCGGCGTCCGAACGCGTACAAAAGAGACGTACATCGAGCACGTGATGGGACGACCAAAAGATACACACATTCAGTTGCCATGTCGTGACGTGTTCAATCAGGTGACGTCACGCCGCCGTCGCCGTCTCGCCGCCGTATTTATACCCGATGAATGAGACCGTTGTGTGCCGGTCGCTCAATAACGAGCGGATCCCGCAAGCGAGCGCGAATTTTCGCGAAGCGTTTACGTTCGTCGGCGTCTCGCGTTACGTTACGTTACGTTACGTCGCGTTACGTCGCGTCGCGTCGCGTCGCGTCGCGTTGCGTTGCGTTGCGTTGCGTTGCATTACGTGTAACGCGGATAATGCGCCGCGCGTAAGATAAGGAGAGATAGATCACCGACGAAACGACGGATCCTCTCCTTCCATCCCGTCACTTCGCGAAGCGATGATAAGTTTGGGACACGCTCGCCACCGCAGAGTGACTTCGCGCTGCGTCCTTCTCTCCTACGTCACGGCGCGATATAGAATCGCTCGCGATTAGTCGCTTTAGTTTTGCCTTTTAATGAGTTGAGGAACTGACGCGACGCGGCGAACGTTGAACCAGCAGCGAGAGGTCGCAGCGAGGGTCACCCGCGTTTGCAAATGACTTCAACAATTATGATTCGGTTGGATACTTTCAGCGCTTCTATCCGTGTTTTACATGGACGATATAAAGACAGAATGATTACAAGCGTTTAAAGCGTGAGGGACCAAACCAATGTAGCTTATATCGACTGCTTTTCTTTTAATGCCTTCAATCTATCAATCTAATCTATGAATCTAAACGTATAACTAAGCATATTAACCCGGGAATGGTCGCGCTATGGTCATTTTGCCGTGCTCTTCCGTTTTCTATTTCTTATTTATCTTCCAATTTATTGGCGCTAGTGTATTTTTATCTTTACGTAAATGTCTGTTAATGTTTTTTCGTATAGTATGCGAAAATAGATGACGTAAACACGCTTATATCTACATAAAATTTGATATGTTTGTAACAGTCGGTCTAAAAGATCGTGCACTTTAACTGCGTTAGTCTTTCTTTTTTTCTTTTATTAGCTCTTGCAGCCAATCCGGCCGCGATCTAGCCGTAAACTAATTTGAAAATGTAGATAAATCAGAAAAGGAAACAATCGAAAAAGCTCGGCAGCTTGACAAAAATTAGGGATGATGCAACACCCACGTCGAGATGGAACACGTTCGTTCTTGTACGCAATAGTAAACTCACTTACATTAGCATAATTAGTGTTTGTAGTCTCATTTTCTTATTTATTAATTATTACTTATAGTAATTATAATCATATACGTATTTTAGTTACAACACATATATGTACAAAAATATATTTCGGTCAAAATGACCAGGACGTGCCTACTAACATTAGTTTCGAGACGCGCCTATTCTCAGGTTAAAGTCGGTTCTACAATGTGCCTTTTGTTTCCTGTTTCTTGCTTTTTGCTATTTTTTACATCTTATCTTTTTGCTTCTTATCCGATTTTTTATTTTATATCGCCCGAGATAAAAGTTAACGAACTTCGAAAGAAGTAAGAAATACAATTGTCGATAAAACGGTTGCAAAGGAGAAAAAAAGCAAAACGTAAAAAACCAGAAACAGGAAACAAAGAACACATTGTAGAATAGGCTTAAAGAATCTCACAACAGTTGCAAAGCTGCTTTTCCTGCCGAACGTAACCATTTTTATACAATTTTCACTGTCCGACATAAATTTTGATTGTGACAATTAATAATAAATAGTCATCGGATCTTTATTGCAATTGCATACTTTTTTAGAAAACGGATTAGGAAATAAGACTAAAATAGAAACATTGAAAAAACATTCTAAAAATGCATATTATGAATATTTACATATTTTATATATATTTTGTCTGTATAAAAAATCCGATATCCAACAATAAACCTATTTTGACGCTGAAAATGAACATCGAGCATCAGCACCTTCGTAAAGGCACCTTTTCTTTTTACGTTCGGAGAAGTTACTATTTTTTATGACGTTACCTCTACTCTGACGGTGGTCGATTGATCTCTTTGTGAGATTTCGTTCATATATTCTGAAAGTGGAGCGGGGTCTCCGTCGTTTCCGGCTCGGAAACCTTTCAAAATCAAGACAAAAGAATTTCTACCGTTGTGAGACTCGTACTTCGGCACGCGGGTGGTCTTGCGCACGCATCTTTCAATCATACTCCGCTGCACATCCACGCGAGTATGTTCGCACCTTTCTCCTCTTTTTTTTCCCTTTCTGATGCAGAAAGCTCCCTCCCTCGAATTGTTCTTTTCTCGCGCGATGCGTCCTGTATTCCGTCTTCTCATTGTACGCCTCTCTCTTTCTCAATGGATCGAGTTTTTAGATTGAACTCGGTAAAATCGTTTTTTCTATCCATCTTTTTCCAGACTCAAAAAAAAAACGAGAATATATGGGGAGAAATTTTTTGTATGATACGTAACTCACAAAAACTTTCTTACTTTTTAATTAAAAAATTTTGTTATTCTAACCAAATTTTGATTGGAACAAAATTTTTAAATTGAAAGTAAGAATGTTTTTGTATGTAAGTTAAAAAATTTGTTGTTTTAACCAAAATTTGCAATCTCCTTCATTAGTCAAATAAATTAAAAATTTTGTTTTAATCAAAATTTTGTTAAAATAATAAAATTTTTTAATTAAATAAAGTAAGAAAATTTTACAAGTCACATACAAAACATTTTTCTCAGTGTAAATTGAACTGAGATTAAAGTTAACATTGATAAAAGCGAACATATATTAGTAATCTCAGGAAAAAATTAATATGACTAATAAAGATACAAACGGAACGATATCAATCGTCAACATATAACACGCATATATTCACAATTATAAACATAATGCTATAATCTACAGATAAAATACAAGTCTCGCAGAAAACAAAATCCCGAAGTAAACAGAATTAGCATTTTAAAATCCGCTTTCAACCGCGTCACGAATATTCAAATATATATCGATAATAATTCATAAGCGAGAATAAATCCCGTGGCGCTTCTTTTTCCTCTCTCTCTCTCTCTCTCTCTCTCTCTCTCTCTCTCTCCGCCAGTGTTTTTGCAAATACGAAACGTCATCCTCGTCCGTAAAGTGCTATTTTTAACGGCGGAGCTAAAATACGCGCAGAGCCTATGTATCAACACGCCTCTGTCTAAAGCGCATCGGTATGTAATAACGTCGAATGCATCTCTCTTGAAAGGCTTAAGAGGTCCGGTGACGAGAGACGAGATAGAAAGAGAAAAAGAGAGGCAAGGAACTCCGCTCGGCTCCGTGTAATATATCAACAAGCGACTATATACTGAAGCGACCGACTTATTGGTCGCACGAACGAGCGAGCGGGAAGAATGATCATTCGGTCACGGCTGTTCGTGGTGACACGCAATCCCGCGCGCAGATATGCGT